TCTATGAAATCTTCAGTCATTCCAGTCATTTCTCTTTTATTCTCTAATTATTTTAAGTGTAAATTAGTTTGATTTACAGCCTGCTGACTGTGTCATTATTTGAGATATGTACATACTAGCATATTTACTGTGTCAAACTGATGGTGGCTAATACAATTATATGCTTTTTTCACTGATATCTGATCTGCTAATTAACTGGAAAATATTTTGATTGGGGTGACTGCTTACCCAAATTATTTAATTGTCCCATGCAAGGCTGCCAGCAAAAAAATATGGAAATGAGCCTAGGAAGTTCTGTGAGATTTCACAGAACAGCTCTTCAGGTTAGGGCTGGAATTAGACAAACGGAGAAACAGCAAGAGCAACATGGGTCCTGCAGGAAAACAAATTAGCTCGCATTTTCATTTCAACACAGAATAATAGTAAGAGCACGTGTCTATCCCTTTTTCTCCTTTATTTTCTTACTTCTCTACAAAGCAAGGTGCTCTTATCCCCATACTAAAAGAGTATGTGTGTGGTGGAGGAGATGAAGGCAAAGAGAGCTGAGAGGGTGACGTAAGTAAATTGGAAAGCCCTAACTCTCAGGTCTGTGCCTGGTTAGCTGGACTGGACTTCTTTCTGATCTTGGGCAGGCTTTTTGTCCTGAATTGATGGTAGTCACTGGTGAACTGGACATGGTGGACAGCAGCTGCGAGTAGTTTTATCAGCTGAGAGTTTTACTTTTACCCCGTGCAGAATACATTGGACATTCTTTCTTCAAAAAACGTAGAGGTCCTGAAAGAAACTTACTTCCATTTTTAATGAGAAAATCTAAGAATTATATTTTTTAACTAAATGTAATGGACTCACTGAAATCTGCTCTGCCAAACTTCTCCAAGTAAATAATGCTTTATCTCTCAAATAATTTCTGAAAGCAACATGAATTCTCTACTCAGTCATCATGTTTTTCTATTTTTAATTGTATTTTATTAAATAAAAAATATTTCCATCTACAGTGAAACAAAACAAAGTTTCCATTTTTTATGTGCTTTTGGTTTCTGTGTCCTCTGTAAGTACCTTATTTTCTCCAGTCATTTTCAAGATTTCAGGCTAGGATCACCACAGCCTCTTATATCATATTATTTTCCTACCATGAAGTTGTTTATGTGTATTGTTTACCCAACAGACATTTCTCTTTCACTTGGTATATTCATTACTGAATAATTCTGTGAGAAGATACAGGCCACTGATTTTTTGCAATTTGCATCCCCATACTCTAAGCTATGTTGAAAGCAAAGCTTTTTGGTCCTCTTGCTTTGGAAGTACATTAATATTTCTATGACCTTTACTAGACGGCAGATGAGAAGCATTAGGAATAAAATAACAAACAAACCAAAGGAAACCAATTTTTTAAAGTGTGTATTTCTGAAAGGAGCAAGAGTGAAAAGCATCTAGTCTAAAAAATATGAACTTTAGCTAGAGTTATGATAATTGTTCTATTGTAGCCTATTTTTCCATGTCAAAATGTTTCTTTATGATCAATCCATTCAACATAATGCAGAAATTTATTTGAAGGGGTTTAGTAGCAATGCACACAAAAAAATATATAGATACTATTTAGAGATAATTAGAAAGAAATATAATAGTTTAAGACGTTTATTTACTGTGTATATTGAAGTGATCACATTAAAAGCATGGTCACTGTGCTAACAGCTCGTTTACACAAAATGACTTCAAATCACTTAACTATCAAAGCCTGCTGCTTATAAAGAGAAATTCTGTGAAACAAGCTGCAAATGTCGTGCCTTTTTGTGTGGTGCAAATGCTCTGCTTTAGAAGACTACACTTTCAGAAACCTTTAAAACACTGTAGAAGGAAAACCAACAAAATTCTACCCAGGAAACCATTTCTCTCACGGCAGCATTGTTTTTCAGTGGTTTTACTACACACCGGAAGCCAACTCTGTTCCTGTTCATCTAGGTGTCGATGCCATAACTCAAAGGAACAGATCCAAAAACAATTTTTAGTGACTTGAAATTTGACTGCTTTATGAATAGCGTGTATAGATTAACAATATCTATGATTCAGCAAGGCATTTAACAGATGGAAAGCAGAAGCTGTCCCATGAACTGAAGTATCTGTTCACTGGTTTCCAACTGGAGGCAAAACTGAGTTTCATATACTTCATATCATACACTTCATATCATATGCATTGGTATGAAGTGAAAGGGGATTCTAGGGGTTTTTTGTCTCTCTTTAGGATAGCGTGGAAGAGTCAGAAAAGTTTAAAATAGCAAGAACCAGTTCACCAGACCGTGAATCACATGAATCTAGAAGGGCTCAGCTTAAATCAACTGGTGTTATTCATAGGATCGACATGGTGGCAAGAGTCCCCTTCTGTCTTTAGTACCACAAGCAATGCTACTGCAGCCAGTGCAAAGAGGAATTGGCCTTGTACTTAATGTGTCACATCCCCATTTTTTAATTATTACTTTTGTAAGTTCTTCTGTTTTGATACATGAAAATTTTCCCTCCTTGAGGTTTCAAGGAATTCTATCTTAGAATCCTAGGGTAAAAATATAGATTTTTTAAAAAAAAATCATAAGTAATGCTTAATGTGAAAACCAGCTTAAAAACATGCTTTCTGTTTTAATTAGTTTATTTTAAATGAAATGAGGCACTTTATAGATTGGATACAAGCATTTCCTTTCCATTTGCTCTTTAAGCCGAAGAGCTTGTTGCTCTTTGTTCAAGTTTTCAGAGAAACAGAAAGTAACTAGGAACTAACTTTAAAAAATACCTTTCCTCCTTGCTGCTTATTTTTTATAAGTTTCCTCAGCTTGATCTAGCAGTATGGAAGTATAAATCATCCTTTCAAATTTTTTTTTTTACAATTTTGTTTTATCTAGAGGATTTTTAACACACAGCTTTCACTCATTAGATGTAGAGATTCTGGCTCTTAACCAATCTGTGAAGTCAGAGAAAACTATGCTGTTATCCAGCTGAGAACCTGGCCCATTTCAGATATATCTCCCATCCCCTTAGATTATTGTGCTTAAATTTTACCACCTCTGGTAAAGCATCAAATCTGAACTTACTCAAGTGATGTCATCTGTCTTTGCAGTCAATGTTCTTAGCCCGCTGTTGGTTTAAAATGTAACCAGTTTTCATCTGCTAATTTGAATGGAATTTTAGCTTCTGTTCGAGATGGAGCCTGTGATGCTGCACTGTGTTGCATAAAGGCAGTTCCTACACTCTTACCCAAAGTCAGATCCCTCTCTGCACTGCAGAGTTAGGGCTCTGAAAGACTTGATTGGAATCCTTCTCAAGCATTTAGAAACATAACCTTTATAACCGGTAACAAAATTGAAAATATTTTTCTATGGTACATAATAGTTCAATAAGACATAATAATCCAAATTCGCTAAAGAGACCATGTTTTCATCGAAAATGTTGACTGACGGGTATACACATGCAGCTCCAAAATAGAAAGCAAAGGCAGGTTGCAGCCTTCCTGTACCTGCACATATGCTTTCCTTTTGCATGTGTACAGGTAAGTTGTAATTCAATGCATACAGAGAAACTCATTAGATGAGAGCATCTCTCTTAAAAAACTCAGGTATCGGTGTTTTGCGCATGATGAAAATACAGAGAGCTAAAGGTGATACAGTTTCTGTGTTAGGGCAGACATTTCAAGAACTGGAGTATTTCTGCTCCACTTTAGGATTAACAATCTGCTCTACTGTCTTTTTAGGAGAAATGGTATACCTGAGTGTCAGTGCTTGTCTTGCTTAGCTGTCATCTCACATTCCCTAGGGGTTTGTGTATCCTCTGGGGCTGAGATTTGCACAGCAGTGTCAGGAATTTCATAGAATCACAGAATCATAGAATGGTTACAGTTGGAAGGGGCCTTAAAGATCATCCAGTTCCAACCCACCTGCTATGGGCAGGGACACCTCCTACTAGACCAGGTTGCCCAAAGCCCTGTTGAGCCTGGTGTTGAACACCTCCAGGGATGGGGCATTCACAGCTTCTCTGTAATTGTCCCATTACTGGGTTCCCATTATTGTTGCTGTGGATCTAATGGGGTTCCCATTACTGTTGCTGAGGATCTAACCCCTTTGTTGAGGAATGTTAGTTCTTTCTGTGGATTTACTGTCTTCTGGCTCTGTGGCTTTTATTCCCTACCTTTTAGTATTTCCAGTGAGTCTTCAGCCTGCTCTTGAAAAGGCCTTTCACCATTGGTGCATTTTATAATCCTTCACAAAAGCCCTTAACTGGCAATGGGAAAACTATTTCTTGTAGACGCGTTACACACATATGTACCTCAAAAGCCTACTGGAGAAAAGCAAACAGGAGAGGTAAAAGAGCAGCAATATAGATGATTTGGGTAATACAACTCACCAGAGAACTCAAGACAGAAACTTCTGAGTGTGCTGCCAGGCTGCCTAAATTTTAGAATAAACTATTTGGACTGTTTTGGTCCCTGGAGAACACTAGAACACCCTGAACTACAAATTCACATCTGGTCTTCTCTTTTTCAGGGATGTAACTTCCTCGTGATGTCTACATCAACACCAGAAAATAAAACAGTGCCGAGACAAAGGCTTAAGTACTGGCCCTCCATCTTCCCTATTCAACTGTCTTCAGTTTTAGCATAAGAGAATGGGTGCAGCCACACACTAAAATCTTATTCTGTGACATTTAACCATCTTTGCAAGGCGCACTTAGGACAGCTGCTGAGAAGGGCTGCTGCTCGGTAATGATTTCTTACTTAGTACGTTTACATATGTGTGTCTGCATGTATACGTATATATATATATATACACACACAATACGTTTATGTCAATGAATGGAACAGCTACAGCATCATTTTCTACCGTAGTTAACAAGGCAATCCGGTATAGAGAGCAAGTTTTAAGCCTTTGACATATGGCTCCTCTTGTTTTTAATATGGTTTTAACTGTCAACGCTAGTAAGCCATAAATATGAGAATAATGTAAGGAGCACTACCACAAACATCCACCTCTACGTTGTTTTATTTTTGTTCCATGTTTAAAGTATCCACACATCTTCGCACATTTCCTTCCTCCTCACTGTCAGACACCGAGGCTCTCAGTTATGCAGGTAAAAAGGATTGGCACTTTCTAAACTGTAATAGTTTTTCGTTCTCTCTTGTTAAAAGAATTCTGAGGACTAACTGGAGTCATCAATTGAGAAAAAGGTCCGTGGTGATTATACCGAGATGAGCTTCCATGTTTAGCTATGTATCTGCAGTCACAAAAAGACAGAGATAAAAGACTTTTAAAACATGCTCCCAATATCGCTACACATCCCCTCTTCTTCCCTCTACCTGCGTTCTTCATGAACAGTTATGTCCATTGGACTCAGAGAATATTAAGAATTTGCAATATTCCATAGTATGAAAATCAGCCCCCTAATGAAAAATGGTGGAAAATTTTCCCAAGAGCTTTAAATCTTACTTTCTGGATATATGTAATGTCATGAAAGACAGATCCCTACAGCAGCTGTAAGAAAGGTATGTTAGGCCTCTTGCCTCTTTTCAGCCTTACTTGGACTCACACCACAGCTCCACAACTAACCCGCATACTGTGGAGAACTAACTGCCATGAGTGTGCTGAATACATTCAACCACATAAGGCTCTGTAGTGCCTGAAGGGCTAACTCTGGTGATGTTGGAGGTTTGGCTTTCAAGACTAGAAAAAACAGTTTGCTGGCACCACGGCAAGCCCACTTTAGATGCCCAATCCTTGTGGTTCAGAATACTGGGATGGGGCTTAGAAAATATGCTGGGGACTGTCTGGGAGAGAGCAATTTATGCTCAGCTCCCAATATTCTTCTAATCTTTTACAGGAAGCGACACTATAAATAATCTTATACCTACAGCCTAAGTTGGTGTAGCCCCTCTGCTGCAAACCACCTAATCAAAAGCAGGGCTGACACAGGACTGACCACAGAGTTTTATGTTCACTCACTCTCTGAACAAAAAATATTTCCTTATATGACCTAAAGATCTCTTTTGAAATCTCCAAAACAACTTGCTGAAAAGGTGTAATCTGTCTCTCTAAAATCAAACTAAATCCAGCACTACCTTGTATTAACTATGGCAAGACAAGCACATTTCCATACAACTCAAGGTGCAAATGGATTTGTGTTTTCTGGCTAGCAATCAACAGTTCATTTAAACACAAAACAAAACACACAGCAACACATAAAACATTTCTTCCAATGCAAAAGCTAAACAATGCTGCCAGAATTTAATTGCACTAAAGGACTTTGAAACTCAATTTTCTGACTTCACCTTGGGATTACCTGGAAATAAAATCACAATAAAAATACATCAATAAAGCTTTGCATATAAAACTACTATTCATATTTGAAGATGAAGAAAAAATATTTCTTCTGTTCTATATCCTATACAATCCTGTTGAGTTCATAATGCTTAAAAGAGATATAAAGGATTTTGCCCTACATGCTGTGGAAGCTCCATGAAATAGAAATACAGTGCAGAAGTGGGTGCACGCTGCCTGGTCTATCTGATATTGCTGATACTTTTGACAGGAACATTTATTAGACCATGTTAGCAGTAGCAAGGGACTCCCTCTGATACTCATAATTGTCTTCAGGAGACTGACCATATATTGTAGACATGTCAAATAAAGCGACTATAAAAACATCCACCACATGCACTTTCTGAGAAATTATTAAAGTCATGGCATGAAAATGATCAAAGAGGGAAAAAAAAGGGGTCTCCATTTTAAAAACAGTAAAAGTGAGATTACATCCTACATGAAAAGCATGTGGAGGTGAATTGGGGTAGTCTGACCCTGTATTCCAGGAATAACCTCTCTTCTCTTTGCCTCTCTCTCTCTAGCTTGACCTGTCACCCCTGAAATCAGCAGAACTTTTATTTTACAAAGGGAAGGAATCAAGTGTTAAACATCTCTCTTTTATGGGCATCACTACCTAATGTTGGGTGAGAATTCCAACACCCCTAATAGCTTTACATACCAGTTTTATAGTGGGCTACGATCCTCCATCTCAAGTCAGTGATCATTATATTACTCCACAAGTAGCCCCAGAGAAAGCAAAATTTTGTTACAATTTTGCAACCAGCTGTTCTACCCTCAGGGGAATGCAATGCTCAGCTCAGAAACAGAGTGGTAAAACCTGGTCTACCGTGTCTGGATATGATTATGCTTGCTATTTGTTCCCTACGCACCCTTCTTCAAAAATGTCAGGGGATTCTGTCCTGGTTCTGGAAAGTCTCCACGAGCACAGAATGAGAACCCCGTTCTTGCTATCCACTAAAAACTAAGAAAACTCATCCACTGTGAGCTACACCCACGGTAACACCTGTAGAAAGTAAAAGCAAGTATCAGAGGTGTTTTCTTTTCTTAGATCACGGTGGTGCCTGTCTTTCCGCTCTTCAAGTCTGGTATCTGCCTGAAGTCTGTCAATGATCTTTGCTAAGATGCTTTTGCACTTTTATTTGCCTGTGACATTTACAAGCAAGTTAGTCTTGCATCAAGCTGCTCAGAGTTCAGCTTTATTAGCCTATAGAGACTCAGGACTCCGTTGTGCATCTTCATTCCCTGCCAACAGCAAACTGCAACTATAGGTGACTGACTATTTTTTAAGTATAACCACAGAGAAAAGGAGCAGAGGGTAACAGGTGGAGGGCAGCAGAAATGGAAATCAGTGCATCTTGCACAACGATGAAACACTTGACAATGTGAGTTCTTTAAAAGTCAGGCAGCTCCCTAAAGCTCCTCAAGCCTTTTCTGGATACTTTTCACTGGCAGCACTGAAAAAGAAGTGTGATGTGTTGTGAACAGAATCCCAAGGCCAATTAAACAGTTTAATGGAAGATAAATTTCTCAGGAAAACATGGAAACTTGGGACAATGTCCTAGATCATTATGGATAACAAGAAATCAGTCTAAAGCACAAAATCATAAAGGAGGGGAAACAAATAGTTCTTAAGTTGTTCTGAAGCTTCTGGGAGAAAGGCTAGGTTGGTACTTTGCCAATGTCAGAAGCTCTTTGTGCTAACAAAAGGAAAAGGGTTTTTCAGCTAATCTGAAGTGTCCAGCTCTTTTGAAACCAACAAGTTAGACACTTAAATAGATAAAAAAATGTGGCTCATATTTTTACCAAGCCTTGTATGGAGGAGCAAGAGAGAATAGATTATTAATCACATCATGAGGCAGCCACAACAGTGATGTGAGGCTATGACGATTTCATAGTCACAGGGTTGCATCAGTGTGGGGCACGGCATGATTTTGCCTCTCGCTGCCTTCTGAGTGAACCCACCCATTTTTAACAACTATTTTTGTATAGCAGATACCCATTTCATAAGTCTGTCTACACTAATTTGGAAGCACAATACCACATGGTTTTCTTTTGGGAATTTTTAACTTTGACATTCACGGGCCTCTTTCAAAACACACACATATCAAGCAAAAAAAACTAGTCACTTAAGCCACGACAACAAACATCACTAAAGAAAAAAATGCTCAGTGTAGAAATAATCCATATTTGAAAATAATGATTTGCCTCAGTGTTAAGGTACCTTCCCGGTACATACCACATGACGGTCCATCAAAATTCTAAAACCCCAAAAGGATTTCAGATTAGCACGACAATAATGTGGTGGGATGCACCCCCAACTGTTCTGTATTTAAACCAATGGAATGTCATGCTTCACATTTAATTGTTTTTTAAACTAAATAAATGCAATTAGGATTTTTTCTGTAATCTTTCTGAACAAGCTGAGAAATATACCTCATACCTACCCATGCAGTTGTGCAATTATCGATGGGGTTGTTGATGGAAGATTAGAATTTGCCGGGTGGGTTGCTGACCAATGAACCTTGCCAGTGTATCCAGGGATATTTGGAGTGCTAAGGGAAAAAGTTAAAGGGGGGTTGGGGGATGAAGAAAGAGTAAATTAAATGACTATAGGCTTGAAATATGACTTACGGATCAGTTCTAAAATAGCTACTGTTTATCAAAGATGGATGGGGTAAAAACTCTTCATAATCTAGTCCTTAGAATGTATGAACTGGCATAGCTTCTTTAAGATCAGCAAAACAACTTTATGATGATCTAGCTGATGATCTGACCCAAAATCTTCAGTTAGACACAGCAAAAGCAAGTGCTTTAGTGACTTTTCCTTTTTCTTTTTCCCCAGTTGTTTTGGTTGAATATCTGTATGATATTCATGATTACAAGCAACATTTAATCTCAAATTAAAAATGGGGTCATGGGGTTTGCAAAAGAGCACAAAAAGCAAGGAAATATTACTTAAAAACGTGATACAGATTTAGCTCATATTTAGGTTCCAGCTTCAAACATGAAATTTAGGTAGCAGGTGTTAGCCAACAAGTGTGATTTTTCATGGCCTAAAACCAAATAATTTCCCAAATGATTCAAAAGTTCTCTAAACTTCTTCTAGAATTTATTAAGAATGTATTTTGATATATATATAGTATCAACACTACATAGATACATCAACTTATATTCTAGCTCGAGTACACCAGTGGACTGAGACAGTATGTGTCATATCTTGGAAAACCAAAGCCTTTTGTTAATTCTGACGCTATGTTTTAATGTGAAATTCAAAAAGAAAGTTCCTTAAAGAGATGGAGGAAAGAATTCTACTTATCTGTGGCGCACAACAGAAAATTTTCATAGCAATTGCTGCAAGATGAAGCAGAGATGGACAAAATTAAAGAAGAAAAAGCAGGAATTAATATGAATTCAGAGAGATGTGCATAGAGCTATTAGTTTCAGTACAGCTGATCAGCTACTTCTCCACAACTAGGTTCAGCACAGGATGCAAAACTGGATATATGTGTGAGATGTGGTTTATCAGAAAATTCTTTGACTTGTGTACTAGGAAACTTGGCTCTGAAATTCCTCACCAGAATAGCAGAGGTAATCAAAAAATGCTGTATCTAGCTACCACAGTTATAACAAAGGACTGTGGGTAAGCTATAGTTGTCACTAGAGCATTGGTGGTATATGTCAAAGTCTTTGTACCCATAGTTAGCAGAAAGAACATCTAGTTCTTTGTCTTATTTTGGAGTAGCCTTGCACTAACCCAAACATTCACATACTGCTATACTCCCTGTGCCATGCTCCAGTACGTGACCATCCAGAGAAGATGGCTTTGTAGAATCAGTGCAGCACTTTCATAGTACTTAGGAAGCTGTTACCTGCAGGGAATCGCCAAGTGATTAAGCAAGTAACAAATCTGCTGTCTGTCTTGACAGCAGGCATGCAGGGTAACAAGCAGGCCTAAAAATCTAGTGTAACAGTAGAACATACTTTCAGAATTGGCCAGAATGGCTTGCAGACAAATTTGCTTTTCATGTCAAAGAAGACAATTGGTAGGTTACGTGCAGGTCAGGTAACTGTAGAAAATTTCATTTGCATATGCAGGGATCCCACTGAGGGACACAACGGCCATTGGGTTTGAGTAAGTATAAGCACATACATTCATCTAAACCTGAAAATGTTATAATACTTTGAAGGATTCAGTCAGACTGTGAACTAAGTTTCATCACCCCGGTGACGTGCTCCATACCAAGATACATCTCTCACATGTAATAAAGACATTCCATTGACTTCCCTGAAATTCTATGAGCGTCAGAGAGAAGAGGAGATCACAAGCTAATCACATATTAGCTTGCAACATTTTGTAAGCCCATTTGGAGTTAACTCACATAATAACTATGCAGCTGTGGAGATATTAGAGCACATTATACACTGTTAGGCATCTGATTGATAAAATCTTCTGACCTTTAAAACTTGCAAAACTAGAATAAAAAGGAAAAGCATCATAAATGGCCAAATGTGACTCAAAAATCAAGCCTGAGAGATGATGCAAGATGAAGACTTGTTCTAGACTGTCTGTCAGAAAGGACTGACAGCAGTTGGTATATTCGTAACAGGTGGGAAGGATGTAGCTCCGAAAGAGAAGAGAGATGGACAGAGAGAAGTTAAAAGTACCAGGACAGTAAAAGCTTACACTACAGTACAGCAGCTGCTCTCTTGGGAACCTGCAAAGAAGATGCAAAAAAGTGCTGCGGTTATGTATGTGATAAAGCAGAAGAAACTGAGGTTAAAAAAAATACCCCGTTGGTTTTTTGTTTTTGGATCATGCTGTCTAGCTCTTGTGCATTTTCTCTGATGAGCTGCTAAACCAGATTGGTACTGCTAAAGAAAACAACGAAGTGCCAGGCTCCCACTGGGCAACATACAAAACTCCTCTGTGGTTATGCTGTCGTCATCAAGCTTTCTTTCTGTAACCATGACATCTCTCTTCTTCATCCACTTCCTTGTTATCATTCTAGTAGCTCTTAGTGCCAACAGTAAGAAACATACAGTGTTGACAGTTGAATCTGTGCAAGCTCTAAGATTTTTCAAGTGGAATGCGGTGCTTCTGCTTTGGTGTGCCTCTGTTTTGTACATCCACCCCGGGATGTCTTTAAATATTTTTATTTCATAGAAACATAGAATGGTTTGGATTGGAAGGGACCTTAAAGATCATCCAGTTCCAACCCCCCTGCCATGGGTTAGGACACCTCCACCTTCCACTAGACCAGGTTGCTCAAAGCCCCATCCAACCTGGCCTTGAACACCTCCAGGGATGGGGCATCCACAATTTCTCTGGGCAACCTGTTCCAGTGTGTCACCACCCTCACACTAAAGAATTTTTTCTTGATATCTAATCTAAATCTCCCCTTTTTCAGTCTAAAACTGTTACGCCTTGCCCTATTACTACACATCCTGATAAAGAGTCTCTTCCCATCTCTCCTGTAGGCCCCCTTCAGGTACTGGAAGGCTGCTATAAGGTCTCCCCATAGCATTCTCTTCTCCAGGCTGAACAACCTCAACTCTCTCATCCTGTCTTTATAGAAAAGGTGCTCCAGCCCTCTGGTCATCCTTGTGGCCCTCCTCTGAACTTGCTCCAACAGGTCCATGTGTGTTTACTTAATTTAGTCGGTCACCCATACTGGCATTTAAAGCTATTTGAGATGCCTTAAGTTATGTGAGAGAACACCCTATTCCACAGGACCCACAGGAGACCCATACTGTTCTGAAGCAGCAGCTGGAAGTGTCGCTCTTGGGTCTCTCCAGGGCATTGGATGCTCAGGTTTGCCAAGTAAATTCCATGTCAGCTCTTGTTATGGGTGCAAAGTCAAGATTCCCCCAAAGCATTTGTAATTCTTGAAAACCTTGGATCTAGCACATCAGCTGGACCAACTGAGGTTTAGCCACATCTTTTTGTTCAAAAATTCTGTCTAGTGAAAGCAAACTGGTAGATTCATACCTTGCACTTACGCACAAAGAGTTCCTATCATCTTACTCTTTCTTAGAAATACTGTTGTATAAATCTCATAGAATTAAATCACCAGAGCTCTTCTGTTACTGCAATTATAAAACAGGCCTCTCAGGTCTCACTCATAGTACATAAGACTCACAACTAGCTTCACCTCAAATTCCCTTCCAGGAAGACTGACATGTCACACGTTTGTGGCCCTTCTTTTACTTCACAATCCTATTTGTTAAGTAGAATAACCTGCAGTAAAAACGCCTCAGATGTGATCCTATGTCATGAAAATCAATGCATACAGCCTCTTGGGTCAGGAAAGAATATACCTGAGAGAACTTGTGAAGTTAAAACAAGGTGCTCCATGCAGAGCGAAGAATGGGACTGGCAGGATTTTTGAACAGAGCATTCTGGGTTGCATTTCATAACCTTCTCCTTCAGCCATCAAAGCAGGATAGGGAATGGGTATTTACAAACAGATTTGAGGTTTCTAAAAGGATAAAACCATGAAAATGGTAATTCCCCAGAAATATTTCAGTCATGTTGAACTGGAGCATTTTGTTTCTACAACTTCAAACAGTTTTATTCTGCTTTCAACTTTTTCAACCCCCCTTTTTAGTAGAGGGTAATATTTTTCAGAAACAAGAAGGCATTTCTAGCCAGCAATAAAATCTCATTTGGAAAATGCCAAAGTAGGGTAATTCAGAGTACCCTACCCTCAACGCCCTGGATGACTCAAACTGGAAAAGCACTAAAAATGCTGGTGGACAAGCTGTCAGTTTCTGAAGAAAAGATACATTGTGGGAAAGCTCTTAGGCAGCCCATGAAAATGACTATGCAAGGTGCAAGGCGGCAGAGGGTCCTGTCCCCAGCTAATTGTGGCCTGTGAGGTTTCTGTGGTAACGTGAAATGATAAGGGATGCATGCACACAGTCAGTTGGAAGCTGACTACACTGAAGAAATACAACTGAAGTCACTACAGATATACTGATGTGATAGTAGCATTTTGCCCAATGTGTTTGAGAAACTAAGAAAAAGGGTAGTTTCAGAGAACAGCTTTGTGCAAGAACTGCAGGACTTGAAACACTTTAGGACTTTGTCTTCCTAGAAACTATGTACTAAGTTCCCATTCCAATCAATCGCTTCCAGACATGCAATTTGGTCAGATCCTGCCCTCTCTCTGATACAGACAACCTCTGTGGCCTTGGACAAGTCACTTCAGCCTCCTCAGTCTTCACCTTTCAAAACCCAGCACTATAATCTACTTTACCAGTGTTATGGCAATGAACTAGTTGATGCTTCAAAGGTGCTTCTAAGTAAGTAACACTTTGTTAGAACGCATATACATTGTGTAAGCACTGCCCTCTATTGAGGATTATGAAAGCTGATGAATTATGAGTAGCAAGTTTTAAAATGCTAATGACTGCCAGATTTTTACTTAGTTCTGGCAGCAGAGGCTTTTACTGTGGAACAAGAAAACATAATCTCTCTCCTAACTCCTTTTGCCAAATTTCAAGAGGTAGGTTGCAGTAAATACCACAGTGCTATAATACAAATGACACA